GGGGGCGCCCCGGGCGGGCGGCTCCGTGCGACGACATGGCGTGCAGGGCCCGTCCGTACGGCAAGATGGCCGCGCCGAGGGTCTGGGCGCACGGCGGGCTAATGCGCCCGCCCCGGGGTCCCGCTGCCCGCCCGCGCCTGCTTCCGCTACCCCGAGGGTCGCTGCTGCGGTCCTCAGAGCGAGCGACTTCGGCCGCCTGAGAGCCGACCGCGCGAGTTCGGCCCTCCGCGCTGGGCCCCGCCGTACGCCAAGATGGCGGCCGACGCACTTCCGCCGCGCACTTCTGGCCCCACCCGCGCCCGCTCGGCCCGGATTGGCCCCGGCGGCGGCCCGTCGCGTCGCGTCGCGCTGCGGAAACGTCGGAGCGAAGCCGCGCTCAGTCGGCGGCCGGAGAGGGAAGATGGACGCAGGTGAGGGCTTGCCTGGCCGCGGGGCCACCCCAGGGGCGGTGGTCGCCTGGCCCCTCGGCCTCCGGGCCTCGCCTGGTCCCTCGCCCGGGGACTCGCCTGGCGTGACCTGGGCGCCGGGCGGGCGCGGGGCCGCCGGGGAAGCGGGGCCCTCGGGTGGAGCGAGCGGGGGCGGCGGCCGTGGCGAGGCCGGCGCGGGTCTGACAGTCCCGTGTTTGCGGGGCTCGGCCTTTTGCCGTGCGCCCGCAGCGCCCGGGCGACCGGCCCGACAAGTCCAAGGCCGCCGGACCAGAAGGGGCAGCGCGGCGTCCGGGCCGGGAGGAGGGGCCGGGCGGGGCTGGGAGCTGGGGGCTCGGGGCTCTGGCGGAGCTGGTTCTTGAGGCGGCTTTGCCTCCCCTCTCCAGGAGTTAAGAAATGGAAACTCTTTTAACTGCTAGGAAGCTATATTGTAGACTGGATCGGAGAAACATGAACCGACTCTCACGGCACGCGCGTCTATTTTTTTTGTTATTTCAATGAGCAATAGGTCGTTCAAGTTTCTTTTCCTGTGATTGAGGAAGGAAAATTCATCTCGTCATGTCTTAACTTCTTGGGGTCCTAATACAAAGTGTGTGTGTGGGGGGGGGTGTTGGTGTTTTGGCCAGTCCTATCGTGCTGCTCCTCCAGAGGGGACAATTCCTTAATTTGCTGGCAAGATATTTTGGATCTTTGTCAGTAGCTTTGAAAGCATTTGTACCCGGGCTCACTTTATCATTCCACAGCAATTTTAGTTCTCTCATTCCTTGTGATTTGCCTTCAAGTATCCCCTCCTTCTGTCAAGGAAGACTTTTATCTCGTTTAATTCCTCCTGTCATCCTGGATGGCGTTGTTTTTGCTTCGCTTTTCCTGCCAGCTGCAACAAAAGGTTACTGAAATCTCAGTTTGGAAACTGTAAGGTAGACATGTCCGGCCAATATTTCAATGGTTTGTGGCATCTCATTACTTAAATGTGTTAGGTAGCTGGAGGAAATGGTAACCCTGACTCTCAAAGGAGCATGTTAATCAGGTGTATTTTTTGTGAAGTTTGGTTGAAAAAGAAAAAGTATCAGACGCTGTTGTACTGTTTGCTGGGAGCACGGGGTGGGGGAAGGAATAGAATTATTTACTTGTCCACTTTCTTTCAAGTTATTATTGTTTGCATACCTATGACCATTCATAGGAGAGACTGGGTTAAGGTGGAAAACACGATTTAATTTTGGTCATATTACCTTAGATGTGAAAATCATCATGTTGAAGTTAGGAGTAGCCACGTGATGATTCCCTAATGCAACACTGAAGGATGCTTCAAAGTAGAAAGGGTGTAAGGCCTCTGTTGATGCTGATAAGAATATATGAGATATTTGTAGGGTGTGGTGGGGAGTTTTCTTTCTAACATGATGCTGTACGTCCTTTTAGGGATGAATAATGGAGCGGCCTCCCCTGATCCCTGGAGTTCTTACAGATTTGGCCTTCCTTGCCCAGGGGTTAGGCAGTTCCTGGTTGTTTTTACAGTCATCCGTCCGTTAAACTATAGTTCTTATTGAGTGCAAGGTTTGTGTCCAGCATCGTTCTACACCCTGGGGCTAGAGAAGTGAACAAAACAGACAAAAACCATGTCCTGGCTGACATTCTAGATGTGACACCAATGGTGTGTCTCATGTGGAGAGTGATGTGGGCCAAGTGGGAGGGGGATGGAGTTGTAGCCAGGAGGACCAGGAAAGGTCTCACCGCAGAGGTAAATTTTGAACAAGACCCAAAAGCAGTGCAGGAGGAAGGGCAAGTGGCCTGCTCTGGGAGCAGCAAGTAGGGCGGTGTGGCCAGGGTACAGTGGGTGGGGTGAGGGAAACAGGAGCTGAAGGCAGAGAGGTGACTTGGGCCCAGTAGTGGGGCCCTGTTGGTCATAGTGAGGACTTGGATGTTTATTTAGTCTGAATGAGATGATGATCCTTTGAAGGTTTTGAGAGGAGGAGTAACATGACCGGGCATATGTTTAGCAGATTTGCTCTGGCTGCTCTGTTGAGAGTATACTGCAGACAGGCAAGGGCAGAAGCAAGGAGACCAGTTAGGAAGCTTTTGCAATAAGCCAGACAGGAGGCCTTGGAGGCTCAGGTCAGGGTGGGGAGAGGAGGTTGAATTCTGTATGTATTTGGACATAGAGACAGTAGGACTGTGTACAGATGGGAAGTGGTGAGGGGTGGGGCTGGGGAGGGAGGAGTTGAAGATGGTGCTGAGTTTATGGCCTGAGCTAAGAAACTCAGATGAGGAAGACTTTGGGAGGTCTTCCTTGGTGGGGAGCTGTTGGGTGTTTGGTTTTGTCCGAGTTGACTGTGAGGTGCCTGTTAGACACCTGTGTTGTGATGTCCAGGGAGCTTTTGGATCTCAGGGCCTGAAGCTGAGGGAGTAGGCCTGGACTAGAGGTCGGAGTGTGCGGGAGGCCACTTTGAATGAGGGTCTGAGTGTGGGAGGAAAGAGAAGGGCCAGGGAGGAGGGGCCTGGGGCTGTGGGCGTGTGGAGGTCTGGAAGGTGGCGGGTAGACCACGGGTTGGTTGTCTCCTCCACGGAGCCCTCAGAACTGTCAAAACATGCTCCCAGTTCAAGGAACTGGCATGTGCTAGCACTTAAATAGCCACACTGTCCGTTCCTTGAGGACAGAGCTGCATCTTATGCTTGCATCTTCAGTGCTTCAGGTTATGTCTGGCGTGTGGTTGGTAATCTAAGAAGCAGAAATTGAATTAATAATAGCTCACATATTCATGTACTATAAGAACTGCAGTTTGTGGAGTTTGTGCATAATGCAAATCCAGTCTGTGAGTATAAGGTGTAAATGGATGAGAGGGCTCTTCACTACACGGCAGTGGGATTTAATGTGGACATTCTAGCCAGTGTGTTCACTAAAGTGTTTCCTAGTTTTCTGATGTAGCTGAAGTTCTGGGTTCTTTTCTCTTTCTTTTTTTCCATTCAGAACTGAATCACCAGCATTTTCATGAAAACTATTTGGGATTTAAAAAAATAGCTACTTGCAATCTTAAATACAAGCATTTTCTAAGGGAAGCAGAGAGCCTTTCTTTTGATTTTATGTATAAAGTATAATCTCTCAGAAAATGGAAGTGTTTTGGGAGAATATCTCTGAAACGTGATGCGTTACAGTAAGCTCTAAAAGAATCTAGTGGTGCATATTTTTTGTGGTTCTCCCAGGTTGAATTACAACGTGATTGGTACTAAGTGGAGAGAAATTGGTGTCATTCATTGAGCAGAATTCCCTACTTTTCTGTCTATTAGATCAATAATATTAAATCAAAACATTTTTTTCTAAAGGAATTACAGACTATTTCCGCTTCCCCTTGCGGGTATGCTCAGGGACATCCTAGGGAAGAAGATGTGGGAAATCAAGCGACTGGGACCCAGGTGACCAAAGGGGGAAAACGCTTCTAAAAGGGCCTCTTTCTTCAGGTGGACGGTGCCTGTCCATCTTGCTTCTCCTGCGTGTCATCTTATTTCAAATTAAGATTATTACCTAGGAGTCTGGAGACTGGCATTCTTTTCGGAGTTATGACTCCTGACTCAGGAGGTATGTGAACTGCTTCATAAATGATGTGATATCATGTGTAAAGATCATGAAATTATAACGAGGGCTGTGGAATAAGATGAGGGAGCCCTCTCTGGGAGAAATCCGGAGGCTCTGGCCTCAAGCCCCAGTGGAGCTGGTCAGTCTGAGAGCAGAGAGTTGATGAAGGAACCTTAGAGAGTGGACTTCTTGGGTTGGTCAATCTGTGCAAATGTTAGGGAGTGTGAACTTTCAGTTTTAAAATAGAAAAGTATTAGTTTTTCTATTGAAATGTTCTTTGAACTGGCATTCTGTAATGTTTTCTGTTCTGCAGAAGTATTAACACATATTTTGGCTAAATTAATATTGATAATAAAACAAAAGTGTTTTGTTTGGAGGGTGTTTAGTTTCATCTTGTAGGTAATGAGGTCTGAAATTATATGAAAAAGAGGAAGAGAGGGTGCTCAGAACCAGTGTTGGGTGCTACACACGATGCTGGAGCCTCGCACCCATCCCGTGTTCTTACTCTGAGAGGCAGAGCCGGTGGCTTTGCCTCCTTTCGTGGTGAGGAGACTGAGGCTTAGAGAAGTTAAGTCACGTGTCCTACAGCTAGCAAGTGGGCCCTCTGTCTCCAAAAACAAATGTTAGTAGAAATTAGAAAGCTGAACGTTAGAAGTGAGTGTTATTTAGAAAAATGTCTCCTTCCTCCCTTAGAAAGTAGGATCTGGAAGGTCAGGGAGCTTGGCGGTCTGGTCCAGGCACCTCAGCCTGCACTGAGTGAGCAGTGCCTCCGTCCAAGGGAGCTGTGAGGGGTCCTCGGCCTGTCGCATTTCAGGCTTTGGGAAGGACAGGTGGGTCCTGTCCTCCAGTGCAGTGTGACAGTGCAGAGCCACCAATGGCCAGTCAAGACTGTGTGATGGCTGCACAGGGATAAGTCCTGCACTTGCTCTTCTGGTTGGGATTGCTGCTGGTCCTTGGGACTCTTCATGCTCTCTTTCCGGGGTAAAGGCCTAAGGACATTGAACAGCTTGTGAAGTGGCGTGGATGGCTGGCTCCTGCTCTCTAAACGCAGTCCTGTCTCTTGTGAGGAATGGCCTTGGATTCAGTTTTAGTGAAGTAACTCACGTGTTGGGTCAGTTTCCTCTTTACGTCGTATGAGGTGCTGCATGTCAGTTTGGTTACAGAACATGGAGAGTGTATCTCCTACATTGTCATCGTTGTGTTACCCACTGCACGGATTACCTGAGGGCCGACCCAGAGATGTGCTTATTCTTGCCACCCAGTACAGGTTTATTAAGCTGTTTATTTCTCACACGAGCCTTGAGGAAAACACAACTGGTCCCATTTTGCCAGGGAGAAAACTGAGGCACAGAAAGGTTCCCAATGTGTGAGGGTTACGTGACAGGTTAGGGCGTCTCAGCCTTCTCGCTCCACGCTGCAGGGCACATGTTCAACAGGTGTGACAGATGGACAGTCCCTGCATGTGGTGTCCTCCAGGCACAGAGAGGTGAGGATGGTCCCTGTCACAAGGAAGTTACAGTGCAGTGGGGGAAGTGAGGTGGATGTGGTGTATCTGCAGCTACTTCCAGAGGCAGAGGTGACAGGCATCCAGCAGGGGGCAGGATTCCTGGGGGAGTGGGGATGCTGGCACCTTCAGCTGGAGGAGCAGCAGGCTTGGGTGTTTCTGTGGATGGAGGGGCGGTGAAGCGGTGGGTACAGGACAACAGAGCGGATGTGGGAACCCTCCTTGGGAACCCCAGACATAAGGTGTGCTGCCTCTTGGAGGCTCCTGCTAAGCTGACGAGAGCTGGGGGTGCTTCCCAATTTTTTCTTTTAAGTTTTTTTATCTCCTTGCTGGCTTTTGGCTCATGCAATAAAGAATCTGAGGCCATGCGGGCCATAATTTTATTAGTTGCAGTAGACAATTTGGTGATGTATTTTAACTTCATGGAACAGCTCTCTCTGCCTTCCCTCTGAAGTTGGCTTCGTTGCCTATAAAGTTTGCTAGTAAACTGAAGATGTACACCTGCTTTGCATTTTGCTGCTTCAGTGATGAAAACCTCTCAATTTCAAAGCTGCCCCAGCCTTTGTCACCCTACTTTGAGAATGAGCTTCTTTTCCTTTTCTCCCTTATCTACTTGTCTCCTTCATTATCATGATTTTCTCAGTATGGGAGCTGGATGTGTTAGGAGTGTCTCAGGGTCCAGACTGATACTGCAGACTCACTGATACAGTGTTGCTCTCCCTTGACATGCGCCACATCCTTCTGACACAGTCCACAGATTACATCCTCGCCCACAGCGAGGAGCTCTCCAGTACATGTTTTGGAAAATACATGCATCTTTAGTTCAAAGCTGCTGCCTTGGAAGGTCTCAAACATCAGTAGAATGTTCCAGCTCCAGGAGGGTGAGAATGACAGTCCTGCAGTATTGTCAGTTGAAGTTAGACAGGTGTTGTCTGCATCCTTTTTCCTTGAGAGTAAACTTGGTGGATGTGAGTCTACATATTGGTTAAACCTAGAGATCAAAGAAGGCAGTGATTTCTGAAGGTACAGAGGTGGCTTTAGAGAGGCAGCAGAGACACCGTGACGTTTCAGCTACTTGAAAAGATAGAACTTTCATTAATTCCAACTCAATTTTTATAGTCATGTGCAGAAACAGGTAATCTTATATAAAACAAAAAGGGAAAAATAAGCCTGGACTTTGAGCTGTTTATTCTTGATCACAAAGCAGCTTGGTTGACATTGTGTGTGGGAGAACCCACAGAGCAGAGCAGAGCTCCTGGATGAAGCTAGGGACTAAGGCCGCCTAGGGCCTGCCATCACGCCCAGGTACTCTGGGCAGCAGATCTGGCTCTGGAAGCACAGGACGCTCTGACCCTGTTGGGTTTTAGGTGAGAAGAAAGAAGGCAGAGCTGGGTCCGGGTTCCCAGCAGCCCGAGAATTCGTTAAGTAGTGAACACAGGGCCTTTTGTTGCCCTGGATTTGTTAGTTCATTGAGCGCTGCTTTCCCAACCCTGTGACTGGGACTTAGCTGCACATCCAATTAAGCATTTTGGAGTAGTAAAATTGCTTGCCTTTGAGCCTCCGGTTCTCTGTCCTTGATGTCCTTGATGTTAATGACATCAGCTGACCTTGGAGCCTTTCTGTCTGCCAGCCTCCGTGTGAGCACCTCATGGGAAGGGTTTCATGGACGCGTCAGAGCCGTGCTGTGAGAGCATCCTGTTATTTTTTCCCCTTTTGTGGGTGAGGGAATTTCCACACTGAGAGGGTAAGTAAGGGCCCCAGGAACCTACAACCTGTGAATGCCTGGGCTGGGACTTGCACTCTGACTGCAGGCACCGGAGCCAGCTCTCTACCCACCTTCCCCAGGGGATTGTGCACAGCATGGAAAGATGTGCAAGGATACTCATGTGTGAGCACCCTAGCAGGGTGTTTGAGGTAGTTGTGGCATGGATGCACTTGCAGCAGAATGCTATGAGACCATTAGACATTTGATGGAGATCGGTGTCTGTGAGGAGTGACCACTGGTGGAGCATTGTGTCTGTGAGGAGTGACCACTGGTGGAGC